GCGATGGATCTGACCCGAGTGCGACGATTACCGCAGGATCTATCTGGCGGCAGCCCAAGACCACGCGAAGCCTGCATAGGAAGAGCAGAAGACTCTGGATCGGAACCCCCCCCCCAGACCGTCCGCAGCAGGATCCACCGTCTCGCGATTCCTGATCCAGGACGCATGTGGATGGACCCGAACGTAGTCGCTACACGCACTGTGGATCCAAGCAGCACTCGCATCTTGGCTGCTGGAAACGCTTGACGTGTGAGAAGTGCGGCAAGAAGGGCCATCCAGGTGACCACTGCCTTTTCGTGTGCCGTGAATGTGGTGAACTTCATGACGTGGGCCGATGCCCGATGGAAGAGTTCTACAACCAGATCCGCCAGTGGTTTAATCCAGCCAAGCATGCGGGGATGCTGGCAGAGATGGCGGAGAAGATGTTAAACTAGGACGCTTGCCGGGTTGGAATCCGGTACGAGCCGAGCGTTCTAGATATTGCATCTATGCATTTGTGAACAAGACATCGACAGATCCAGTTAGCAAACGACAGGATCTACGCTGTAATACATGTGACCTTCATGGGAAACGTGCTGCTGTGGTCTCAAGTCTCCGACAAGCTGATGACTACTCCAGATTCGACACGACAGTGGAAATGGATTTGGATCCGGAGGCACGTCAGGGATACTGGAAGCAGCAGGATCCAGACCAGTGGTTTAAACCTGCCGAAGGTGAAGACACGGCTGGATCCAGATCCAGGCGTGTTGCTGCGAACCGGCGGACCACGGATCCAGAGTCCTCGTATCTCCTACCCGGAGAATCCTGAGGGTACTGGAAACAACATTCGCCAGGGAAATGGTTCCGTCAAGCCAAGATCCACGGCAAGATCAACAATGAGAAAGCGATCATACTCCTAGATACCGGTGCCGAGGTGTCCATCGTGGATACCACCTTTGCTCGTAAGGTTGGGTGCTACATCGACAGGAGTCAGAGCCAAGAGTGTGTTGGGATCGGGGACATCGTGTATACAACGGAAGGAAGAACGCGGATCAAGATTACCTTGGGCGGATACCTGGTGTATTTCTTCGACATTTGGGTGGCTGACCTATCTGGACAAGAGGCCATCCTCGGTATGGATTACATGGTTCCGGCCGGGATCCGGCTGGATCTGGCCGACGGGACTCTCTGCCTGCCCGATGAAGTCCTGATCCAGCTCAGCAGACGCTGTCCACTCTACAGTGACAAGGTGCAGTCCGTGACGCTGGATCGATACTTGCAACTTGGGATCGGAGAGTCCGCGGAGCTGCCCATGCGTCTGCGAGGATCGGAACATGACAAGCTGTGGGTTATGCGAGGGGATCGATGGGTGCCAACGGTGATCAAGGGCCCAGGCAAGGTGCGGTACCTTCAGATCACGAACATCGGAGAGAAGGAGCTGGTGTTGCGCCAGAGCCTCCAAGTCGGGATGTGGCTGGCCGGAGATCGAGTCCCGCGGATCCAAGGTTACGTGACCATCGGATCCGCCGCTACATGGCGTGGCAGAACCTCGCGCTGTAGGCCACGACGGACGCTGGATCCGCGGAGGCGGAACCCCCGGAGCCCCCCCCCCCCCCCAGGGCCTATGGTGGAGCGCCCCGAGTACCCGACGCCGCGCGCAATACTGCAGAGACAGCATCCAGCACAAGTCCGACAGGTAGAGGCCAGATCCAAGGGAGCTGAGGATGGACAGGACGGATCGTCGTCAGATCCACCCGACCGGACGACCGAAGGACACATCGCCGGGACGACAGGAATACCGCTGCCCCAAGCTTCAACTACGGCTCATGCTTTAGATTCGCGGTCGGATGAGCTGCTTGAGTATGTACCAAGCTTCGATCCAGCAGCTGAAGGTCCGCCGAATTCCGATCCAAGCGGTGGAAACTCCGTGGGAAGAGGCGCGCCGACCACCCCCACGACGGTGTTAACTGAGTGCAGGATGGACACCGTGTTGGGTGATGAGGCGTCGCGACGGGTGTCGATCCTAAGCCCATCCCCCTAGGTCCGATCCCAGGATCTTGGGTGTGGACAGGGCGAACGGACCGTTGAACATCCACCGGAGTCGGATCCGGTGTCAGCAGCAGACGGCGAAGCGACACAGCTGAGGGTGCCCCGGGTAGCGTCTACCCGGGTGCAAGAAGCTGCTGCGCCTAATCCTACACCCGCTCCCGATTCAGACGAAGCTCCTGCTGAATGCGCGCCCGATCTGGATCCAAGTGCCGAGCCCAATGTTGAAGACTCGCTGGGACCAGACGATGGATCGATAGACCGAGGTCCGACAACTGACACGCAAGGTTGCGAAGGGGCGCTGGATCCAGCTGATGTGGGACAAGCGGCCCATCCCGTTGTCGTATCGGGTGATAATCACGAAGAGTCAGGGGGTGGATCTGCAGGTTCAACAGATGGTGCTACGGGACAGGCCATGGATCAGGTGGAACGCCAAGTTGCAGATGGTGAGATGGGACAGGGTGCAGATCCAGACGGAGAGAAGAGACAGAAATCAGGTCCGACGTCAGATCCAACGGTCAGCCCTGATCCAACGACCACTGATAATCCGCGGTACAATGACTCGGAGGCGGATAACCAAGTCTGTTACCAAGTGAGTGGAGATCTACACGCGGAAGACGTTGAAGCTGAGATGGCCGTATTGCCCGAGGTTACTCTGGCTACAGACGAGGTGACAATCGAAGACATCCAAGTGGGGGATGCAGACGTTAATACCACGGAAGAGATTGGCCGACTTTGACGAAGGATCTGGAGGCGCTGACACCTGCTGATTGGCAAAGGCAACGCGCTGCTTTTGCGGCGCGAGGTGTCGTGTGTGACATCGATGTCGGGGATGCTAATCCCATTGCCCAGCGTGTGCGGAAGGTGGCGCCGCAGTATCGTGAGAAGTTGTCGGATCTGATCATGGGATTGCTCGGTGCCAAGATCATTAAGGATTCAACTTCCCCGTGGACATCCCCGATCGTGGTCATCATCAAGAAGAATGGAGTGGATATAAGGTTGTGCATTGATTACCGACTGGTTAACAGTCTGACCAGACTGATGATCTACCCGATGCCCTTGATTAACGACCTACTGGAGGATCTGGACAAAGTGCTGTGGTATTGCTCGTTGGATATGGCCAGTGGATTCTGGGTGGTGACTATGACGGATCGGGCTCGTGCGATTTCCGCTTTCATCACCCCGTTCGGATTGTACGAGTGGAACCGGATGCCCTTCGGGTTGAAGATGCGCCTCAGATATATCAACGGATGCTGGACAACGCGCTGTATGGATTCACCCGGATCCCACAGTTGGAAGGTGGATCGGGATCGGACAGCGGATCGAAGGTCATGTGTGGGATTGGACCGAAGTCACTGGATCTGCATCTAAAGTCAGGAGAGCCTGAGGACCCCGGCAAACCGTCGGTACTGGGACGGCGATCCTACATTGACGACATCTTGGTAACCGCTGGATCCTGGGACCACTTGTGCGACCGGGTGGACGCTCTGCTGGACGCGTGTGCTAAATGGAATCTTTCGATCAGTGTGGTGAAAAGCTTCTGGGGCAAGAGCAAGGTGGAGTATCTGTGCCATCGAGTGTCCCAGGCTGGATTGGAGACGAATCCTAAGGATCTATCAGCCCTGACGGATCTACCCTTCCCAGGGTCACTCCGATCCATGCAGTCATTCCTCGGCAGCCTGAACTTTTACAGTCGGTTCCTGGAGGACTATGCAATCTACGCTGCAGTTCTCTATGAGCTACGAGAAG